CCGTGTCATTCATCCGCGCAGTTTTGAAGGCACATACTGTGGAGACACCTTCGCTGCATAAATTTGTGGTTACTTGTCCACGAAATGTGACCCAACCTCATCCTCACACTTCAACCTTCATGTGTCAGGCGATTCGGCATGCGAAGCTCACTGTGTTGCTGGTGTTGGGATTGCGCTAAGTACCAAGGCTGAGCGCTCGCATCTTGACTAGATTCCAGCCATTAGCCGAGTGTACGCTGTCATCATCGTACAGCGAAATACAGTGAAGCGAACTTCACTGATCGCTTCAGTGTGCACTGTTGTTCTCAACGGCTCAATAGGAGTTCAAAGGTTTCAACTGAAAGGTGACAGATCCTCTTGTGAAAATCGTACGGAAATTAGTTTAATCAATTTTGCTTCTAAAATTCTTGCTGGGATCATACGCCATCGATTTTCTGTCGCAAGGGAACAGTGCACGCGTGAGAATCAGACTGGTTTTAGACCTGGTCGAGGTTGTATCGAACACATCTTCACTCTTCACCAAATTATGAAGCACCAAAATTTTTCTCGTGCATCCACCATCTCTGTATTCTCCAATCTGAAAGCCGCCTTCAACTCAGTCAACCGCTCTAAACTGTGGTACTGCCTTTAGCTGGAGGATGTAACGGAGAATATTATGATGCCATTATACTAATAGCTGAAGTTGAGTCCGAGCTTACGGTACTCTGTCGTCCGAGTTCACCACGGAAAATGGTGCTCGTCATGGTTGCTCTCTCTTTTTTCTCTTTAACTTTGCTATGGATTTGATTCCGGAAACAATCCTATCCTCGTGCGAGGATAGTGGCATCGATTTTCTCCGAGATGCAGACTTGATCTGGAGTATGCAGACGACAATGTGATGCTAAGTGAAGATCCAGGTAAGTTGCAAGCTTTGCTTGTTAGTTTGAGTGCTAGTGTAACCAGTAGATGGGACTAGTTCTTGATTGAGGCTTAGGAATACTGATGCCCCAAGACTCTGTACTTTTTCCCTTATGTTCATTAATAACCTTTGTTCAACTTCCAATTCTATTCAGGCCTTTGCCGAAAACAGACACCCTACACTCCTCTTGGTCCTATTCTTATTCATGCACCGCTAACTCCAGATCAGTATCTCAATAAATTCTGATATTGGCCACATTTCTGCTTAGGGCTGTCGCAATCATGTCTTCATTAGTGCCAGGAAAACCTCCCTTATGTCCATTTCTCTTAGATGAGAATCGTTCCCTCTCAATAAAGTTCAACTCAGACTTTCTTTATTCCACAGAATCACGCAACTTATTGAGACTGTCTTTATCTTCATCTCTCCAACGCACATTAATCTACTTAGCTTTTACGCTACGCGTAAATTGGGATTCCTCAGACGCATTTAACTCCCTTCCATTTACAAAGCTCAGAATTGCCCTAAACTTGAACACCGTAAGCATATGGATGGTGCAGCTTCTTTCACCTTTCTGCCTTGATCGGATTCGACGTAAGGCCATTCGTTTTATCAGTGACCCGTCTGTCACTTGCAACTTGCAATCACCGGCCCGATTGGGCATTAAGGTGTATTGGGAACCTTGGACGTTTGATCCCGTCCAAAGGGTGTATGATACAAAACTAGACACCGACCCCCAATGGATTGCGGTTTTCACACACCACCCCGCCGTCTTGCGAATCACGCTTTGGCTAGCCGAAGGTTCCGGTTGTGGATTCCTCAAAAAAATTCACCTACCTTGGCATGGGCAACCTGGGAGTATCCAGCCCTCATGTAAACTGTAGAACGTTTTGCTTTTTATAAAGATTATTGTACCACGATTCGTTTGGCACACAGTCTGGCTTCAGACGTGTGTAATATATATACTTGGAATCACTAGGGCGTTGTTGGGCAGTCCCTTCCTTATCCTTATTCTACCGATACTATTTTGGCTTTTGTTCCACCGAACTTATCTCCTCCGTTCGCCTTTCGTCACACATATGACACCTTGCAGGTGACTATCTTCAGGTGTAACATCTGTCACTTTACCACTTTTCTCCCAAGAACAGCACAACCATGGAACACTCCCCTTTTCGCCCCCCCCCCCCGCAACNAACACTTTTTTAAGTGCAAAATGAACAAAGACGTTTTAGCTTGAATGTTCCCTTTATCCGCGAATGTACAGTAAGTATATCCTTGATTTGATTTGCTGCAAATCATAGATCTTTTTCTTTCTATATGGATTATTGTACCGTGATTTGCTTGGCACACCTGAAATCAGGCGTATGAAAAACTACAGAAAAATACATCTCAGACTAGACCTTTTGTTGCATTCACATTCAGGTAATAAAAACTATTTCTTTTCTGTTAAACCTCTGAGACCTCTGAGAAATTTCAAGATCAAATTTGTACAATTACGGAAAAGCAGTAAAGTCAAATTTTGTTATGAGAACGACTTACAAGCTCATGCTGTGTTTATCCCCATAAGAAATTTACACAGTTGAATCCTTGCCCAGCAAAACAATGGTAAGACGTCACACAGAGCTCCAGGTAAAAGATAACACAACGTGGTCTTCAACTAATCTTTTTTAGTTTGGTAGGAAGGTGAAATGTGCCAGGGTTTTATCAAGCCTCCACTTGAAAGATTCAACAGCTGGTGCACAAACGACGTGAGATAGAAGGGTGTTCCAAGTAACGAGCACTGTGATCGAATGGGCTAATCCAAACATTTACCATTTAAATTGATTGGGCCATTCGCACAAGGAGATAACCGTCGACCGTGTAGCTGAAGGGTAAGGGTTTGAAGTACCAGTCCGAAGAATCGTGGTTTGTGTCCTCACAGGGACACAAAAAGTACGCATTGCTGACGAGTCCCAAACACGACAGAACAGCTGCCCAGTGATCTTTGTTGGTTATCACAAACATTTCCGTCACATTTAAATGTGTGATAGTTTGCAAATGAGTTTCGTTTGCCATCTCCGGGGATAATGGGGGACGATAGACTGTGCTAATCAAACAGTCATCGTATTTGGAGGGTCGTAACTTACACCAAAGTGTCAGGATTGATTACCTCGCATTGAAGAACGTCATGAAAATAAATTAAAACACCATTATAAAAGTAAAAAGAGTTGCACTCGGATAATCTAACCTTCGTGAATAGTACTCCACATTTGGTGCTAGCACCATCTNNNCGGTCTGTTGTAACAAGCAGAAGGCTGCAACGAAGGATAGTTAGATGCCTATGAACTTATACCCCTTTGATAATCAAATTCTGGTCCTTCCGTCTGCACTTCATGGCCGAAGACTTACTGGATTGCTAAACACGACATTAGTGCGTCGCATACTGGAGGCGCGCAGTTTCCTTTACAATCGTGGAGGCAATTATCGTAAAATAACCGTTCTGTCATCAACAGTTTTACGTAAGCAAATGCGAACATCAGAATGGATATCGCCATCATAAGTTCACTATCGATCTGCTGATGCACATCGAATGTGTCTGGTACTCTACGAAGAAATTATGATCAATGATATTTGGTGTCCTTGCAATTTTCAAAAGTTTTAGATCCAGTATCATTTCAATTTTAATTCAAAATAAACCAATCGGCTAACGTGATCAACTTATACCGGGACACTTCTGGTACTTTCACCTTGATAATGCCAGTCCGGATACCCATCTGTACGACTTCACATTTGCTTTTAATTGGGTGATCCTTCAATTTCATATCTATTATTCACCGGAAACAGTTTCTCATGCGAAATGCTAGCGTTCACTGTTACGAACCAACAGCATGAAACTAGAAACACACCGTCACTCCGTAGAACTCACCTCAGCACAAGGATCAGCCCGGTCCAACAATTTCAAACCACGCTCCAAGCGATACACGTCTTCCGGGTTCGCTGCCGATGCCGGTTCAACAGCAACCGAAATGACCGGAGCTCCGTGCCATACAGCTAGACCTGCCAGTGGAAGAACCGGCGCAGACGCGGTGGCGGTACCATCGGAATCTGTCTGTCCTCCTGCGACTAAGGACAGACGATCCACAAGAAGTCCGGACTTGGGAAGGAAGGTAATCAAATCCGGTCCAGTTAAACCAACAATATTGCCCGAGGGTACGGGATCATTTACCTGAAGCAGATCCCGTTGCCCTCCCATGAACTGAAGCACACCGACCACCACAGCCACATACACGTGACGCAAATACTTGGGTCTGTTGTGTAACCCACCGCTGGAACCTCCGAAGGAACCTGAGCGGGATAGTGCAGCGCATGAAGAAGCGGCCGGACTGGTACCCAACTGATCATCAGACCGATTGAAAACATAATCAGAAGTCAGGAACTCTCTGTCTTCCGTATCCGCTTGTAAACGTAGCGGACCGACGGGGAAGTCAGCCGGATTCGAGTCCAGAAGGTAAGATGGAACCTGTGGAAAACCGATAGCGAACAGAGAAACAAGATATCATTTCGGGAAAACGAAATCTCTGATTGTGCCGCATTACACTGAAACCTGGCAATAGTAGGACAGCCTACAATTGGTATCCTTCAAAACAAACAGCAGCAAGAAACAGCTTCCCCGTGACCGCAAGACAAAGCATATGAACAGCTTAGTCTTCCCGCCCTTGAAAGCCACACACATGATTTAGTTCAACGTCAAGTAATTTTTGTCGCACAAGTAGTCAGCAGGGAATCAATTCAAGTGAGTGTTACACTCATTTGAATTAGAAGCAGTGACGCACTCAAATCTACTCGGTACAACAAGCAAGCCCAAGGAGTTCATATTTGATCATGTTCTCCAATTTCCCATGCTAACAGGGTCTGGGTATTTGATGACACAGATAGATCCAATTCAACGCAGCGAGAACTTACTGAACTTACAGAGAAAACAGGGTTGGATTACTTTGGTTCGAATAGATACACAGAGCGGAAGTCGATGTTGTGGACTTCGGAATGTCGCTATTCGGAGTGTAGAACAAAAATGTATGACATTATTAGTAGAAGAGGTCACAAGAAACCAAAGCAATTGTAGTCTCTTTTTGGTGAGGATAACTAATCCCGTTCTGACCAATCAGTCAAGCGGTGGGTGATATTTCTTTCCCGAAGAAAAAAACGTCACTTTTCATAAGCTATACAATTGACGTTGCCCATTCTTCCCATTTGTTTGTCAAGAGAGGGAGACAGTAACTGAAGCAAAAAGTGACCGCGTTAATTAAACCGTTCTTTAGTGGGCTTCCATCCTCAGTTACGCTTCTCAATCATCGGTTTGATTCAATTACCAGCATGAAGAAATCGGATCTGACTAAAAATCCTAATTACTCAACTGAAGGTTACTTTTGGTGCCTAAAGAGCATGTATTTGCATAACAGAACCACAGCTAATCAGAACTGTACCCCACCAAAGCGTAGTCCGAAAACTCAGGTCACCCAGTCAATTAACTGATAAAAATCATTTTGCACAATGTTCCGATGGACCCACTTTCTTAGGAGAAAATCCGCCAGAAGTATAAAGCCTTGGGTCGTTGCAAAATACCGAGCTCCGAAGGCTTCCTCCAAACTCCAAGGATGTTGGAATGAAGCTTGTTAGAGAACTGCAAGTCTTCTCTTCCAAGGTATTGAACACCGAACTCTATTTCTGGAAAGAATCGGTTGTTCTCCCCCTCTTTAAAAATGGCCCGTGCAACGGCTGCGACAACAACAGGGGTACAACCAGTGTGACAGGTTTTATTCAACTTTTACACCTTAGTTTTGATCGAACAGCATCATTATCATCGTACAGCGAAATACAATGAAGCGAACTTCACTGATCGCTGCCAAACTCGCAATGCATACAAGGTTAGTGGTAAAATTTAAGGTGGACAGGGATCGGATTTATTTTGAGGGAAAGAGACGAAGATGAGCCACTATGGTCAACACACAGAGTACACAATCGACCTATGCATACATACCATTTCAAGCATTCTGGNCGCCACTGCTGTCGGTTCGCTGCCATATCCTCCAGTGTCTCCAACCAACCAGTTGTGGAGTCTTTCGGACCCCAGCCTGGAAGGCGAGAGACACCTACTCTACCCAATGGCTCCGTGCATTTCTTCATACCTCGTCTCCACGTCATCTGTTGACCTCCACGTGGTTTTCTCCAGCCCGGATTAGCTACAACGAATAAAGCGCGGC